TAAAAGATATCTGGCGGTCATCACACTTTCACGACAGATGCCAATCATGAGAACAAGTTTCATTTCAACTTTGTGGTAAAAATATTTCTCAATTCGAATATATTAGATAATATATAGACCAAATTAATCTAGGGAATTAGTTTCAACTTGACTATGAAAGAGTAACTCGACTACTTTTTCCAATCATCATTTGACTTGTCATTTATTTTCTTTATATCTTACCTTATATAATGATGAATAGTCGTGCGGTGCATGGAAACAATCAATAGATCCACGACGTATTTCTAAAGCGATTGATTGACGATGCACACCACGGGGTAACGATGTGGAGCGATTATGGAAACGGCGTATGACTCGGAAAGGTGGTCCCTGCAAAAGTCAGAAAAGATTTTTGTGAGAAAGAAAAGGCTCGAGAGTATATTAAAGCAATGGGAAGTTCAATGTTTTAATTGTCAGAAGTTTGGTTCATTTAAAAAGTTGTTAGCGGTTACACACATGTAAAGCGTCAAATTAGTCATTTCAAATACTCTAACGAACTAACTTTTAGCTAAATAAGCATATGAGAATGAGCATAAATATTCTCATACCGTGCAAAAATGTCGCATTTGATTAATGCTATAAATGCAAGATTGTTACATTACAGTCTACATATTGTTGATTTAAACATATATTTATAATAATTAACAATATCAATCTAAACTGTTACGATAAAAAGTAAAGTTGAAAGAAAGCAGGTGCAAATGATCTAATAGCACAAGATGATTGGAAGTGATACGTTTGAATGAATGAGATGTTGATCATCACTACGTCTAAGCCTCGTCATGGCCACAGAATAGCCTGGCGATGATTGAGGTGGAGATGCAGAAGCAGTATCGTCCTGCTCGTCAGATCCACTAATTTGATGTTTATGTTCCGGTTGAGGATGGTTACTGCAACCTGAAATAAGTTAACTGATGTCATTCATTACTTTTATCAGTCATGTGATGGCTTGCACTGCTGAAACATTAAAATGACTGAAATGGGTTGGTTGTTATCTCTCCATAAAATCGTTTTAAATTCAAAAGGAATCTCAGGAACAGCCTGATGAGATGGAGATATTTTTTAAGTTAATTTAATTTTGATTTATGTTTCTAATTCAAAATGAACCAAATGAAATGATTCAGTTGTGTTCGACATGCATTATAGATTGTGGGAAGACAGACCCCATTTTGAGAGTTAATTAAACAAATTATTACCATAAATTTTCTCCACTTCAAAAGTGATCGAATCCAAATTTACTTACCAAGCGAATTAGTTTAGTGCATTTATCTCTATCTTTAGCATAAAAAAGATCAATTTACTCGATAAGGTGAAAAAGATCAGATTTAATTTCGACTGAAACAATAAAAATTTGGACTTAGACGTTATTTGATAAAATTTATTCTTTAAAATGAATACCGATGAACTGGTCATCAATGGTCTGCTGTTGGCCTGGAAGCTTGATACGGTTGTTGCTTTCGCTGATTGTCGATAGTACCTGATCAGGATTATTCACCGATATTGTTGATGTTATTGTCGCTATTCCCCTGGTCGAGCGATGAAGATAGTAATCGGAATAATTCCCATCGCAACTATTAACACTTACCTGATCGATATTGTCCCAACCGGATGAGGAGAACGACGATCCCCCATCGGTTGATGAAACCTTTCAATAACAATTGTGAAAATAAATAATAATAAGAGAGTAATTAGTAAAGAAAGTTTCAATTCTTGAATCCAATTCGGATGAAGAGCTGGACATTGAAATCTAAAGCCTCTAATCCGAAGAGATATACATGCAACGTTGGTGGTGATGCTTTTTTGTCTTCAAGTTCATTTTTAGCTCATTCATTTCTTACCAACATCTTTTCTTCCCTTGGATTTTCTACCCTTTCGGGTCAATGAGGTCATGTAAACGACATATTTAATCACAGCAAGCAACGATGTCCATAATTTCCTGTTTTTCTTTACAAATTTGCTTTTTATTTGTGAATCTCGCAACTTATCAGAAAGATTTGTAAGCTTTAAGTGCAAGATGCACCATTGTCAAGTGAAGACCGCACTTTTGCAATAGATAATTTAAATAGTGGCAAAGAGACATCGAAGAAGCAGATACCTGATCAGCAAATCGGACGCGGTACTGTTTTCCATTCCTCGATGTTTGGCTGTTATAGCAGTTCGTTTGTAATCCTTCCGGTAAGCGTCTTTGATATGACAATTTTGATAAATTTGTGTGTACTCTCCTAGAAAAAAAATTCGTTCTTTCTTTTCATCCAAAATCCATTCCGATACATACGAGCAGACATGCATACTTCTCCTTCCCACAAATGCTGCTTGCGCAATTCAGAGGGAAGCACCCCTCAGTAAGCGACATCATCAAAGTTCATCCTTTCCTGGCCCACCTGAAGAGGACTCCGTGTTCAGTTATCATTACTATTAATGACAAGAAGAATGAGAAGCTCGTCAACGCAACGTGACAATGCAACGGAATGGCGAAGTGGTCGATAATATTCATTCAGAAGGGAACTTTTTTTGAGAACGGCGAGTAGAACGCACAATTTTCTTTTAAGACAAACAAGAAAAAATAATGCAAAAATGATGGGGAACGATCAAAGATGGAAAGGTGTAAAAAAGACCTAGCGTGAAGTGACTGAGAGTGATCAGACGTATCAGTCTCACTCAGAGATGGAACTTCTTTTTCCGGATGGAGCTCAGATGTCTCCTGGCCACTCTTTAATCCATTTAAATATTCTTTTCCCTTCTTGCTTTCACTCATTTCCATCTCTATTTTCTTCATTTCAAGCGCGTTATCTGTTTTTCCTTCCAATTTTATCGTCCTACACATCCAATAATGAAAGCTTTCCAATTCGAAAGTTCAAAGCACCAGTCATCAAGCATTGTTTTGGCACTACTAGACGATTAGTTAAACGATTAGATCGATATCATACCTTTCCTTAGTCAAATCAATTCCCAATCGTACCGATCGAAGTGCCCGAATGAATTGAAATTACCTCAATGCGATAACGTTGAATGATGACCTCATTTTCATCTTATTCAATTTCTCAGCAGAAATTGTGGAATTACCTCCCGTCACCACAACAGAAAAAGTATGGGAGTATCAAAGTATCTTCAATTTTCGAGAGTCTAATGAAATGGCAAAGATGGGGATTGAATTTCACATCTTTCCGCATGAATAGATCATACCATGCACTTTCCGGTGTTAGATGTTCACGGTACACGGGGATTTCAAATTTGCGTTGCAGCTTTCTCGGCTTATCATCAAGAAATCCCGCATTAATATGTCGCGGTGATAATTGATTGTCGGAGTCGGCGCATATACCTGAATCCGTATCACTATCACCTGGCGGTGGAGGTAGCTGGCCACCTGTAAATCATCTTGCTATACGAATTGTTTTAGCTACAGTGATGTTAATTTGTATTACAGTTTTGCGTACAATAATGACCATGCCTGAGCATCATCTCATCCCATGTAGTCAGCTGTTCTATTCTCTATGAGATCTGAACTTTCCTGAGTGGAGTGAATATAAACCTAATTTATGTCAATTAACCGATTCACCTGAGTGACCGCACCACTCTGAACTACTTAGCACTGAGTGGAAAATGTTAGAATCTTATCAATCATGAAACTTGCAAATATTTTAAAAAGCATCTAATAGTTCTCAATCACACCGAATGGATGTTTGTTAGTTAATATTGGATTGATTCTTTTCGAAGTAAACAAATTCATTCTTAAATAGAGGGAATATTTGTTGCAATTAGTCGACAAAGTATTTCTCAAGTCAATTTAATGCAAAATTTGCAGAATATTTTGTTGCAAGCACGATATAGGAAGAAAAGAGAGAGAGGGAAGAAGAGAATGATATTCCGGACGGAGTTTAGACGATAACGATTCGGGGGGAACGGAACAGATACGATAAGCGAAGAAGCTGCATTAAGGAAAGCTAAGAAACCTTTGGAGCATCATTCCCTTCTTCCATACCCTTTTATACCGTTTCTTTCTTGAAATCACCTCATCTCCACCCTACACTTTTATCGTCTCATCGATACTAACAGCCCACAGTAAGCTAAACTGAAGCTGTGACAAATGAAGCAATCCTGTTTTCCGCATTAACAATACGGTTCATATTTAACAAACTAATGAACATTTGACAACTGCCAAATATGTTTCTATATTATTTGGCTGTCTGAAGTTGCTTCTCCTGGTGATTCACTGATAGCGAGGTGAAAGGCGGTATGTTAACAAGTGGAAATAAATGATTAAAATAAATTAAATTACCAGCAATGCTTCTTGAGAGTTGCCCAAATTTAGCAATTTGACCGTGCTGATATTGCAACTTCGGTTTAGGTGGTATCGGCGGTATTTTGGTCAGTGTTGTTGTAGGATTTTGCATATTGGCTTAAATATCCATGTGTCATTATTTTAAGAGTTTTTAAACGATGCTATTTAAAATAATGAGCAGAAATAAGCATTAACTAATCCATATTTTTCGAAAATGAATGTGAAATATCGTGATGAAGTCACTAGGAAAAGAAACATGAAAAGTTTAAACATTAAAATTATTTCATAAAATTCATCATAAATATAAGAATAGAAAGCTCTCCAAAGATGGCTATCCGATCGAAACATCAAAGAGAATGAAAACGAATATACAAATGAATGTTGTTTTGTTATAAGAATGGAACTTTGTAAAGAAGGAAGATATCTGCGATTTGAGAAAAAAGACAGAACTGGTAGTTCTGTTAAAACAACAAAGTAAGAAGTTTCCTCACCGATCGACTCGGGTTTTCATGAGACCTCTGCGATAATTCCTACTTTGATGATCACCAATCATTTATTAAATGTAAACACTTTTGCTGAATCAGCAAAGTGAAGGTATTAAAAGTTTGAAGTACTTTTTTAGTCACACTGCCAATGCAAAGTATGTAAGGTGTCGAAGAAGTGCGTGTATAGTAACTGCTGAAAAAATAAACTTGCAGTGAAAGCTATCAAGTTGTTTAGTTTGGCCACTCAAGGGATGAGGTCTGGAAAGAGAGAGAGAGAGGGAGAGAAAGAGAGAGAAAGAAGCTTTGGAAATGAATCGGAAAATACAATCATTCCAGAATGAAACGATGTTTTCGTTTGAGATTCGCTATTTGAGTATTCAATTTTTGCGATCTTTTTCCTATTATTCTTTTTTATCCCCAAAGCCAAATTTATTAACATCAATAATCAATAACCGATACAAATGTGTCAAGTCCTGCTACCGAATGGAAGCTCCAAAATTTACATATGTAAAATTCTCTTCCACATTCCCTTTCTTAATATTTTATTGAAGGAGTAGCTGAAGAATTAACAGTGTGATAAGAAATCTTTCTAGTCACAGTATTTGGACAAGGGCATTTCGAAGAGATGCGGTGACATCGAGGAGCCTTAGCGATATCAAGGAATCACTGCAATAACATCAAATCTGGACAACAGCAAAGCAAAACATCAAAATTTGCATTTCCTTCACCAATAGTCATTTATTCAGTTTTCTGTTTGTTAGATTATCCTCAAAGATGACAATATCTTTGAACTTCCACTGCTTGACCTCGTCCAAGAAGGATTCAGTTATTATGATTTTGAACTGACGAATTTAAGTGTTAATATTGTTCAATCAAAATCAATGGAATTCATTCAGTATAATTTCAAAAGTCTGTTCAATAGAAGTAGGATATGAGTCAGCAAAAAGGATAGAAACGAAAAACCTAAATGTTTTACAAAAGGATTTAAATTACATACGGGAAAAAATTATCGATTCGAGTTCTGATTTTACAAACAGTAAAGAAATGTAAAAATTGCTTCCACTTTCTACTTATTACTTCTTAACAAATAACTTCCTCCATTTTTCATTTAGCCACTTGACTGCATGGCATCAAGTTCTTTCTAATGAAGAAGCAACTCGAGAACCAGCAACCGAACACAAAAAATATTAAATGAAAATCAGACCCATCTGCCCACTCTTAAATATATCTTCCACTCCAACATCTGAACTGCAATGTGAGATGTGCAATGGCGATGATAATGAAGTGATTCGAATTCGGCACTCATCCAATTAATTCACAATTTCAACGTGTGTAAAATTAATATGGATTAATTATTGCTGTTTCTTTGTTGTCGTCAGTGGTTATCACAGCTCAGAACAATGGAAGAAAGGAACTTTGACGACCTTTTTCTGTGCCTTAATAAATGTTCCAACAATTCATCGAAGACAAACATCATCAATGTTATTGTTTGTGTACCTTGAAAATAGTCATTAAGTTTGGGTTATTTCAAGTGGTCATTTCAATTCCTTGATTTCTCGAGTAGGAAAATGTCGTGACACATTACAATTTCATCATTTCAGTTTCTTTACCATTCTTATCGACAATGTAACCTTATTCAAAACCCTCCACACTTAACTCGATTAAATCATAGTACGTAAGTTTACGGAGATTAAATAATTAATAGTGACATATTTTGAATAGAGATAAGTTTGAAAAGAAAGGGAATTTATGAGTAGCATGCCGGAACGGTATCTCTGCAAACTGAAGATGAAGAGGATATGCTATTTATTTCAATCCAATCCTGAAGTTTTCATTCAAGTGCTACAGTAAACAGCAGTAGAGGGAATCTGAAGGACCGGAAAAAACGGGTATGGAATATATTCCACAACCATCAAATATAATATTAGCCATCAATACCAGCGCAACATATTGTTGGAAATGCAGCATTGTTGTGAGTAAAGAAGGTGATGTGCTGAAAGAGAAAATTGCAATGCCTACCGCTTTTTTGCACAATTTTCTTATTTCAATCTTTCAGGACCAGACTTTCACAAGTTAAAACATTCAATATTAATAGGAATCAATCGGCGGAAACGGAATGGCTAATTTATAATAACCATAAAGTAATAAGAGATGTTGGAGACTGCCTTCTCGGTTCTTCGGTATTACTCTTCTCCACATATTTTGGTCCGTCTTTCAATTTTAGATATTGAAATTACCTCCGACAGATAATTAAGGGTTGAAATTAAGTATATAGAATAGTTCGATGAATTTTCAAAACTAAAAATATGAACAAAAAGCAAAAGTGAACATTTATGAAAGATAGAATTTGGCGAGAAAAAATAAAAAAGTTATTTCCTCAAAAAAATTTAAATTTATCAAATGAAGGGGATCAATTTCCTTAAAACGATCTGCTAATCAAGATAAATTGATTCCAAAATGTTAAACAATATTCAGTTGCTCAGCAAATGTCTACTTGAATTTAAAATGCACTCAATTCTGAAATTTGAATTGAGATCTGAAATTGCGCGTTTAGAAGCTAATAATTGTAAGTAATGAGGAAAGTAAGAGGTAATGATGATATAGAAAAGCGTCAATCAATTTCGTGTTTTCATATGCAACAAAGTTTGAACGAGTTGCGAGAAAAGTAGATAAGAAGGAAATGGAAGCAAAGAAGCTTAGTGGGAAGCTGATGGAAATATTTGATGGAGTAATAGAAATAAACAAAAAATAAATAATAGCATTATTCAAAGTTCGAGAGAGTTACTATGAATGAAATGAAAGCAAAAATAAAGTGATTAATATTTAAATTTAATGTTTTAGAATAATTACTGTAGAAAATTCTCATTCTACATATTTTAGAATTAATCGAATGAGGAAATCTGAGGATATTTGAAAGAACTTTAATCATACTCTCATTGCAGTCCAAATTCTCATACTTGCTATTCTCTCCAGCTCTTAATTATTATAAACTTTCTTCAAATTAAACTTATTATTAGACTGCATATTTGGGAGATACTATAACAACAGATTGATTAAAGCTTTAGTAAAAAATCATTTTCACAAGTCGCTATCAGTTGATCAGCTGATAATAAAATTTGTCGGCTTTCTTTCATCTGCTACCATTTCCCCAGCGCTGCACTGAAAATTTGTTTGTGGAGTATGGAAAAATGTTTGTGGGGGAGATATGATCACACATCGGACAATAACTGTAGTTGTGACAAATAAAAGAAGACACACCTGATCGAATAGCTATCACTGAAAGAGGATTAATTTGGGGCCGCTAATACCATCTGATAATAGTCTGATTTCATAATCAATTTCTATGCTAAAATATTAGTGAATATTTTCATTCGCTTACTAGTGTTTATGATGAAAATAAGATATGGGAATGAGTTGATCTTAAATCAATTTCAATTTTGAATGATAATTATAGATTCATTTCAAAATATTTGATTCGACATCATTTAAATAAATCCATCGAGAACAGATGTAATTATCTTGGAGTGAAACTTTCATAGGGTGGATGTATAAAGGAATGTAAATGGATCAGCAGAATTGATTTCCCGATTATTGAAAAAAGTTAATTTTTCAAAATGATGGCAGCTGAAAGAACGTTCTAATCCGAATACTCCTTCAGACAATCTATCTGTATTCCATTTATAATTCAATTCGAAATTTAAATAAATTATTGAAATACAATACTAATGGATGGTGACCCAATGAGGAAGAAATGGTAAAGGAAATGGAGGTCACAGCAACTTCAAAGAAAATTAGGGAATATAGATGGATGTTTTAATCTCCAATTGCAAATCATTCGTTCATTCCAAACGTAAATAATATGTGTGACCTCAAAATGAACTAAATTCATCAACTTCATTGAAATGGAAAAGGCATTGAATGAAATGAGTAGTAATTCTATTTTTTCAAATTTCTAATCTGTCAAAGCAAGCATTTATCAGAGAATGGTGGATGTGGTAAGCCTCACTTCATATTGCTGTTGTTGGGACATTTGCGCCAGGTGGACAATATTCAGTCAGGTGGAAGATAGAGAAGAGCAGCAAGAGATGTCATCAAACTTGAAACTTTTTTAATAGTCATCTTGTAATAGCTCAACTGAGCAGTGACAATAGAAAGAGGAAATGAGAAGAACGAAGACAACAATGGGAAAGGAAAAACTGATAGCTCATCCTCCTCACAGTTACTTAAAGTTGTCGCGAAAGTCTCCATTTATATCGTTAACCCTCAATAGTACCACCGGAAAGCCGGAAAATTGAAGATGTTGCTTTGCTATCATCAAATCTTTGCTTTGTCTTTTGCTTATAACTCATCTTATGCATTTCTTAATCAGTAAATTACTGAAGTAAAACCGAACAAACGGGGCATCTCCACTCGATCTATAAGGAGAATGAGAACGGTATATGACCACAAATGATGATGACTTGTCCATTCAAGAAAAAGAAGTGATATAACATGCCGCCATCAATGAATGACCAGCTTAACAGAAAGGCTACTTATTACTTTGAAGACTTTTTTAATAAGATTGGATTCGAGACGCAATTAGCATAAATGAATTTAGTGGAGGCGAAAGGAGGAAGAAAAGGAGAAA